AACCTCTGAAACTGTGATATAAATAAGATATTTTTCTCCTCTTAAATGTATTATATCAGGCATTTTACTGCTGCAACAGAAAGCTGGCTAACATAATGATCAGCATCCATTCTCTGAATTTTGATGACACTAGCCGAAAAGGAATGATGAAAAGTTGCCTTCCAGAACAAGGATTGCCCCTTTATGCATTGTGTGGGACAGTTTTAAGGACCTGCTCTGATAGTTTGAATAGGAAATGCTCTCCATAGGCTCAGGTATTTGAGCATTCTGCCTCCGGCTGGTGGCACTGTTTGGAAGGTCATGCAATCTTTAGGATGTATAATCTTAGTGGAGGAAGTGTGTCATGGGTAGGCTTGGAGAGTTCAGAGCCTTGCCCCACTTCCAGTTTGCTCACTCTGCTTTTGTGTTTGCTATTGAAGATGTGAGCTTTCAGTTTTTGGTTCCTACCACCACGCCTGCTGCTTGCTGCCATGACTCCCACCACAGTGGACTCTTATCCCTTTGGGACCATAAGTCAAAATAAGCTCTTTCTTCCATAAGTCACATTTGGTCATCATATTTTAGCACAGCAGCAGAAAACAGAAAACTAAACAACATATATATATATATATATATATATGACATATATAATAAATAGTGTCTGAGCCTCTATTAGGCAAAAGACAAATTCAGGAGGTTAGAGGCACACTGGATTGCACTGTGTAAGACAAGAAGTTCTCTCTCTTCTCCCTTCTTCCCCTTTTACTCTTTCCTTTCCCTGTTCTTTTTAACAATCTGCCCATCTACTAAGAAAGCAAGCTCACTCTAGCCTTCTGGAAGATAAACATGAAGCACGTGTGAACCTAGATGCATTATAAGGCCAACTAGATCCAGCCCTACTTTGTTAGCCACTTTTTTTTTTTTGTCTTTTTGAGACAGGGTCTCCCTTTAGCCCCAGCTGTCCTGGAACTCACTATGTAGACCAGGCTGGCCTTGAACTCACAGAGATCCGCCGGCCTCTGCCTTCCAAGTGCTGGGACTACAGGCATGCACCACCATGCCCGGCTTGTTAGCCACGTTTTATTTATTATTTTTATTTAATGTGTATATGAGTGTATTGTTTGCACGTAGGTAGGTTCACTGTGTCATGCAGAGCCCACAAAGGTCAGAAGAGGGAGTCAGAGTCCCTGGAATGGGAGTTATGGATGGTTAGCCATCATGTGGGTGCTGGGAATCAAACCTGCATCCTCTGGGAGAGCAGTCACTGCTCGTAACTGCTGAACCATCTCTCCAGTCCCCTAGTCCTGATTTGTATTCACATGACTATGAGTTCAATCAGTGGCAAATCTGGAGATAGTTTGTATACATAAAAATTCACCTGTCCTAGTTTGTTTCTTCATTGCTGTGACAAAATACTCTGACCAATACCAACTTGGGAAAGAATGGGTTTATTTAGTTTACATCTCCCAGGTCACAGTTCATCAGGGAGCCCAAGGTAGGAACTCAGGTCAGGAACCTGGAGGCAGGAGCTGGAGCACAGGCCATGGAGGAATGCTGCTTACTGGCTTGCTCCCCTGGCCCATGCTCAACCTGCTTTCTTATACAACACAGGCCCACATGCCCAGGGGTGGCACTACCCACAGTGGGCTGGGCCCTGCCACATCACTCAACAATCAAGAAGATGCCCCACAGAATGTACCTACAGGCCAGTCCAATGAAGGCAATTCCCCAATTGAGGCTCCCTCAACCCAGGTGTGTCAAGTTGACACTAAAACTATCCAGCACACCACCTAATATGATAATATTTTTATTGTATTACCTTTTATATTAAACTCTTTAATGTAAACTATTACATATAGCTTTTAAAATTCTGATTACAGGAACTGGAGAGATGGCTCAGCAGCTAAGAACACTTATTGTTCTTCCAGAGGACCCAGGGTCTATCCTAGACCCCATGGCAACTAACATCTGTCCATTACTCAACCTCCAAGGGATCTGACACCCTCTTCTGACTTCTGGGAGCACTGCACAACCCAGGTGCACTACCTACATATAAGCAGTACACTCATATACATAAAATAAATAAATCAAAACAAGTGGCTAACAAATCAGGCTGGATCCAGTTGGTCTTACTAATGTGTCTAGGTTCACATGTGCTTCTGGCCTCTGCAGGACATTGTGCACATGTGGTATACTTACATACATGCAGGCAAAACACTCATACACATAAAA